GATATAGTAAGTATAAAATCTTTGTGTAACATTATTATGTGAAATCGATCTACGGGACATATTCCCTGACTGTTATACCAAAATCTGTAATTTGATTGGTTAATAATCATTAGACACGTTAATTTTTGTGTTACAGTTGACGGATGGATTTGATCGTTATCAGTCGGGTCAATAATCAACCCAATTACGCGTATCTTCTCATTTTACCATGTCGGAAATACTTGCGCATAAATATTTTGATAAAAAGTCATCTGAATGGAATATCTTGGGGTTCTTAGACGAATGTGAAGAAGAAAAGTTCGATCTGATGATAGATCAATACACTAAAAGCCTCGAGAAAATTGCTAACGATGAAAAAGATTCCAGGGGCGAAAAAGCACAAAAGTTGCTTGATAGTTATAAGAAGGCGAGTATAGAAACTTTTATAGCCATGAATTGATTGCGTAGTGGTGGCTTTCTAGGTTGTTGCTACGGCACGCAGGTGGCTTTCTAGGTTGCCTGACGTTCAAGATCCCGCCAGGACGCAGGTGGCTTTCTAGGTTGCCTGTTGTTCAAAGGTTTCTAGCTGATTTGGTGGGATCGATGTGATTCAGAGGCACATTTGTCAAGAGCTCTGTTAACCAATTGGGTTTTATTGTTCTAGGGTATTCGGTTGGATTATCACCTGGCAAGGGCGTGGGAGAAAGGACAATCTAAAAGACAGATCCAATGCTACCAACAGACATTCCTTGAAGGCGGAACTATAAATGGAAGCGTAAATGGAAATATAACTTGTGGAAATTTCACTGGATCCTCTAACCAACGAGGGGAGGAAGAGGTATGAATGCAAGATTTTTGAGTTTTTTACTATTGAGTTAAAAGTCAGAAACTTAATAATTTTTTCTATTGATGTTCTTAGGTGGATAATCCCAAGGAAGAAAAAGTATTAAGAAAAAATCTACAAGACGCTGGGGACAGACAAATTATACCCTTGCCTCGGACTCCAGAAAATCAAGTAATTATGTTTTTCCATTGTGTTTTATTTCACCATGTGCAGTGAATTCATTATTCTTAGAACTTAGATCAAAACCATGATGATAGAGTTGATGACGAGAACGTAAACTTTATACTGCAGTTTTGTGTACCTGATGACGATTCTCAAAAAGTAACAGAATCAATGATCGGAAAAGTCGAAAGAACGGCCCTAATAATGGATGACGTCAATTTGGAAGAAACTTTTGAATGTTATTGTAATGAGTGTGAAAACATTTTTGAGTGAGTAGAATCTACTTTTCTGATTGATATGAAAAAACAGATAGTTTTATTCATACTATCACCTTTTATTAGCTTATGTCATAGCGACATAATGGATCTTAGGCCTGGATCTAAGTTTACGGAAAAAATCTCTGAAGCAATATGGGAAAATTTTATATCGAATACATATCCTGAATACAAATTACCCAAAAAATGGGAAGAAATAATAAACGAAGTTTTCAAAGTATGTTGCAAAAACTGGAAAAAAAGATATTTTTTTTTTTGTTTTTATTATTTATTGATGGCAAATAGCCAAAAGATTCTTTATTAGAATGGATTAAATGCTGGCGTGGGCTTTATGTAATTTCCGGTGAAAACGAATGCGATGAAGACCTTTATATAAAGGATACAATCTATAACATTCTTGCACCATAGTATGTCAAACCTTTAAAGTCTCCAAAACTCTTAGATTTATTATGTAACAATATTTTTGATTTTCATTTTTTTTTAGTATTAAAGTATTCAAAGCACCATACAATATATTAAAATCAGGAGACCTCGAAGAAAATCAGTTCAATGCACAGTTCGTAAATCCGATATTTAACAACACACTTGATGCTATTTGTAATGTCGACTGGCGAATGTAAGTTAATCCAATTATATTTTCTAAGAAAAAATTCATTTGTACATAATTATTGATTAACATTGTGACACTAGTCTCGAAGTCCCGATCGAAAGCAGTAAGCACCGACGTAACACAAATCTCAACCCAATTATTGATAAAGTTTTATCAGCAAAACGTGCGGATGGTTTAGCTCGCCTCTGGATAAGCCGTGAGGAAGTATTCATATACGAACAAGTCGGTCCCCCCGACTACAATGATCTTACAGAACTTTATCTTCACGACTATAAGCTTATTAGAACTATGCGGGATATCCTAAATCAACGTATAATTTTTCGACTTACCAATGGAACATCGGATAATAAAGATTTAGCGAGCTTCGGTGCTTTGGGGTATCGTACAGATGTATCGTTGTTTTGGCTTACGATAAATCAAAAAGCATATTGCGTACGTGAATTCGGGAGCTTTAGAGTCCCTCTTCTTTGGGAAGATCTTCCTGTATTATCCGAAGCAATTATAATGTGCTTGAAATTCTTTGTGAGTATAATAACGGTTGTATAATTTCTCACCAATTCTTTACTAATAATAATTCACATTTAGTCCTTTGTGAAAGAAAATACAGAGAACCGAAAATTATTTATTGATCCAAAGCAGAAATTGCTTGCCAAGCGGAAGGTTCATACCATAATGCCTAACCCACCAACTCCCGATCGATCTAAAAAACAAAATTATCAACCAAAAAAACAAAAGAAATAAATTTCATGATTTCCTGTTAGCAAAATAAATCCATTGGCATTATGTAAATAAATACTACACATTACACAAATAATGATTTTTCGCGTTTAATAATTCGATTGTATAATAAAAAATTGGAACCCAGCGGACCGGACCCCCTTTATTTATAAAAATTATTGCCGAAACGACAATATACAGATAAAAAAAATACAAATAAAAAAATATACGCCTCAAAGAGGTGCCTTTAATGGGGCTATGTTTGTGGGGTTTATAATTGATCTAACATTTCCTGCCGTTCACCAGGATTCCTATAATCATTATCATCATATTCCTCTTCCTATTCTAACTTTTCTCTCGAAAGATTGTCCAAGGGTCTGCCTAGTGTTCCGCAAAAGATCCGGGTCCGGTCCGGTCCGTTGACGGACCGAGTTCGGACCCATGATTTATAAGAATCGATACGGTTTCGGACCCACACGAAGATCCGCCCGGGTAATACCCGATCCGCCCGGTCTATTAAATATCGTACGCTGATTGGCTGGCTTTTTTTTTTAAGTGCATAAAACG